ATAGAAACAGCCTTTGTGCCACAGACGCATTGTAGGCTACTGGTTCAGGAAACAGTCTTCATCCATCCTCCATAAAATTTCTAAAAAAGTCGCTTTCACAACGAAACACACAGTGACTCCACAACATGGCAGCGGCGGCAACAGCGAGAATAAAAGTTACGCCTTCTTTCTTTGCGTGAACATTTGGGCGGTGTTATGCAAATCTTCCCACATAGTGATGTAGACATGTGGGGGCGTGTTAGAACGAGCCGTTTTAGGTAGGCGTGGTTGACTCTTAACTTTTATAAAGAATATCTCTTTGGATTTGAGACTTTAGTCTTTGCAACTTTACAGATCTTCTTTATGCACCAAGAGCTTGTAACACTCCAAAGAGAAAGGAAAAATTGAAATCGCATCATATGACCCCTTTAATAAATTGAAACAATGTACTATTTAAAAGTAGTTGTACTTTTTACATTTTATTTAAAATATCAAATTAATATCAAAGGTTTAAAAATCTTTTCTTATTTTATGTTTTAAATAGTATTAAATAATAGTATAGTATAGTATTAAAAATGTTTATTTATGCAAATTGATCAACTGATTTGATGTCAATATACTGTAGATGTCATTCAATTTATTTGAAAAATGTTAAATAATTTTTCTGCCAAATAATAAATTGAATTAATATAAGTATACAGTTTTATTTATGCAGATTAATGAATTGAATTCAAATCAGTACACAGTTTTATTTATGCCAGTTAATATCAGTATACAGTTTAAAAGTAATTCAACTTATTTTATTTTTTAAATATTAATTATTTTTTTTATTTATGCCAATTAATAAGTAGAATTAATATCAAAATAGTAAAAAAAATGTTCAACTCTAAATATTATGTAATTTTATTTTCTTGCTAATTAATACATTGAATAATATCAGTATACAGTTTAACTTATTTTATTTTAAAATATTAAATACATTTTATTCATGCCGATTAATTAATTGAATTAATATTAATATACAGTTTAATAAAGCAATAAGCAATAACTCCGCTTTGCGTCGTGCCTAACAACGCCCCTTAGCTGTTATAAATTCACTGTAAACCACAGCTTCACGGGGCTTATTGCTTTTATAAAACGGTTATTCCATATACGTAGTAAGGTTTCACAGAGTAAATAAAGTGTAATGATATTAATAAAAACAGTATTCTTCCACCAAACAATGTAGTTCCTCAGAAACAGTTGTGGTTGCAACAAAGTGGTTGCAGAGCAACACACAGAAGTAAACAAAGGTGTATGTTTGTAGTGTAATTTACAACAGCTTCGAACGCGGCTCAACCAATCAGAATCAAGGACCAGAACTATCCGTTTTATAAAACTAGTTAAATGTTTTTTTTAAATATAAAATAATCTCGATTAATTCAATTAATTTACCGTACTCCTCTCTCAACACACACAAAATGCTGAAAAATTATATTTGATAAATTCCACATTTGAGATCTTTTTACACTTTTAAGACATAGTATAGCCATAGTCTTTTAGATGATAAAGCAGAAAACCCTCAGTGTTCTTTTAAGTACAGTGGAGTACCATGGTAAATACTATGGTACCATGAATATGATCATCATTCTGTACAATGGTATATATCAAAGTACCATCTCCTATGGTGTGGTATTCCCTTATTTCTAAGAGTAATTTATAAGGCATTTACAGTCTTCGTTGTGGGATCGGCCCATTTGTAGGATGAATATGTCCTTGTGTGCATTTTTAGCATTTGAAAAACATATATTATGTTAAAACATTCATTGCAGCTCATTATGTGTGCATGATCTTTTGGCAGGCGTCCTGCTGACTACCTCTCCATGCAGCTGAGCGAACAGGCCGAGACGCCGCTCGATCTCTAGTGTGTTTGCATGAGCATGCGTGTGAGTGTGGATGAATTTATGCAGGATCATGAGTGTTTGAGCGTTTTTTTTTTTTTATAAAGATGAATGTGTTTTTACTTTAGATGAATGCAGGCTCAGTTTTATCAGAAACACTTTGATTATGCAATGTTGATATTCCGAAGATTTTTTAAAGACAGATCAGGATGTTTGATTTCTTTAGTGTTTTATCAAATGTTCCAAAAAACATTATTTTATTGTATTTTTGTTTCATAATGTGACTTTGAATTGAATTGTCATTAGCTAGCAGTAAAGACTGTAAAAAACACAATAATAGTTCTTACTAAGTAGAAATCAGCAAAAAATCCTTCAAAATCAAAACAAGATCATTCCACCATAAAGTTCATGTTAGCAATTTTAAATCGTAGCATATTGATACATGGCTTTATCAGTGTTTATCAGCATTTGATATGGTGCATCTGCTGAAGTCTGGCCGTTTGTGATTGCTGTATTTGCCATAAAGAATCTTTCCTCCTCCGTGAGTCTTTCTGCAGGTGTTTACAGATTTTCTTTTATGCATCTGCACAGTATTATCAGTTGTTCTCAGAGTCATCAGAGCAGTGTTTGTGACCACAGACGCATTTCTGTGTATAGAACTAATGTGCCATTACGGTACAGAGCAAACAACATTACTTAAAGTTCACTGTTCGCTCAATTCATTTCCATTCTCAGTTGTTAATTGATCTTAACGGCCTGTTAATGAGATATTAGAGTGTTCTGTCACTTAATTGTCGTTCTAGGACTGACAGCGCTCATGACACTGAATCAGACAGTCAGCTCGGCTTTCTTAAGACGTAGAGCAGAAAAATCCCACACAGGAAATGAGGGGTCGAGAAGGCAAGGTATAATGCTGATTACTATTTTTTGTCAGAGTAGAAGTGTAGAATTGAAATGTGTTCCATTATGTCCATTTTGAAAGGTCTTTTGTTGTTGCAATTTTGCAAAACTAAAATACAATTTGCAAATGTTGCATTCTCACTGGTTCTTTATAGGATATTTTAATGTAATTGATTATTGATTGTCTTTCATCTTTTTAAAATAATACAATCACAATAAATGCTTCTATTTGTTAATATTGAATATATGTGTGTTTATTTAAGTTTATATTATTTATTTATAACATATACATTCAAACATTTTTTTTTAATGTTTGTGAAAGTCTCTTTTGCTCACCAAGGATGCATTTATTATACAAAAATACAGTAAAAACAGCAATAATATGAAATATTATTACAATTTAAAATTAGTTTTCTATTTGATTATATTTTAAAGTGTAATTTATTTCTGTGATGCGAAGTTAGATTTTCAGCATCATTACTCCAGTCTTCGGAGTCACATGATCATTCTAATATGCTTGTTCTTATTATTATCAGTGTTAAAAACAGTTTAATCATGACAACTCTCTGAAGATTTTAGCATGGTGATGGGAGTGGCCTTTTATTGTGGCCAGCCTAAGGCACACCTGTGCAATAATCATGCTGTCTAATCAGCATCTTGATATGCCACACCTGTGAGGTGGATGGATTATCTCGGCAAAGGGGAAGTGCTCACTAACACAGATTTATGAACAATATTTGAGAGAAATAGGCCTTTTGTGTACATAGAAAAAGTCTTAGATCTTTGAATTCAGCTCATGACAAATGGGGGCAAAAACAATGCCCGTTTATGTTGCGTTTATAATTTTGTTCAGTGTAGCATATAAAATAACCCGTAGGAGATCTATACAGGTGGAGCTGGGGAAGGTGGAGGGTTTCAGAGAAACTCTGAAAGCGCGCTGCAGGAATCTCAAGTGAATGCTAGCCAGCCATATAAATGCAAGGCAGTAAGCTCATTGGCTGCATATGCAGCATGAACCAATCAGCTTGTGCCAAGTCGTTTAACTCTCTGAATATCATTAGTTACGTTAACAACCCATCAGCCTGCGCCATCTAGAGTTTCATGACTAAACTATATATTTGTGCTGCTTCATATTTTTGTGGAAACGATGAAACTATTATTTTTTTTAACAGCATTTACTTGAAAGAGAAATCTTTAGTAACATTATAAATGTCTTCACTGTCACTTTTGTTCAGTTTAATGCATCCTTGACCCCAAACTGACTCCATATACTTATTTATTATTTTTTAGTGCTCTGTATCTTTGTCTCATTTGTCAGTCTGATCTCTCAGTCTCTCTTTTCTCTTCCTCTTCTTTAATCAGCACTTCCTGTCCTGTCTATATCAGATGCATCTTCTTAAGACAAAGTCACACATATATTGACCTGCATTGACTTTTATTTTTTTCTGTATTGCATATGCATTTTTTGCGCACATGCATGGCCTTAGGCTGTCTGTGTTATCAATTTCACACGGCTGTAGTCATGTGTGAAAATATGTGTTTTTGTGTTGTGAGTATTTTTATAGTCTAGTGCTTATGTAAAGTGAGCGTGTGGAAGCGTGTGCATGCATGTATGTGGTTTTGTGCACATAATGACAACATGTCAGACGATGCTACGCGTCAAAATTGCATCTGTGGCCTGCTGCACAGGAAGAGAAGGAGGTGCGACAGGAAGGATAGAAGAGAGGGAAAGAAAAAGACAGACGGTGCGTGACAGAGACACTCAAACAGAGAAAGTGTCGAATGGAGGATGAAGATGAGGTCTGTGAGAAGTAGGGTAGAGACGAGCGGAGGTTAGCAGATGCCAGCGAGACTTCCTGTGCTCAGAAACACACCTGATGCTCCTGCGCTTGAGTTTGTGTGTTTGCAGCCTCCAGATCTGAAGGCCAACAAGATCAACGCCACTCAATCAACAGTGAGTATTAGCTTTCTTCATCAAGCGGATTAGCTATATTTTATATTATACATTTGTGTATATAAGGTGTTTGTCCTTAAACATGAGCCGTATGCAGTTAATTGCTGGAGAATTTCTATTTTTTTAACACACAATCGTCAAAAAAATGTCAATTTTAAACATGGTTACATTAATTAATATTGCTGTTGTAAAATCATTATTTCATTTGTGCTTTTTTTTAAAGAAAACATTTTTATATACATGTATCTTGGTGTTCTGAGTGGTTACTATGGTATTTAGGATGATTGCTAGTGTATTCTGAGTGGTTACTAAGGTTTTAGGATGGTTGCTAGGGTATACTGGGTGGTTACTAAGGTATTTAGAATGGTTGCTAGGGTATTATGAGTGGCTGCTAAGGTATTACGGTATTTAAAAAAAACTAACACTAGCTTTGTATTCTTTTTCTATTCTATCTACTTGTTTTCTTTGTGTGTGTGTGTGTGTGTGTGTGTGTGTATATATTAAATGGCAAATTTAAATGGCAGTGTTATATATAAAAGCGTCTGCTAAATGACAAAATGTAAATGTAAATTTAGGATAGTTGCTAGGGTAAAAGATGGTTGCTATGGTATTTTGAGTGGTTACTAAGGTATTTAAGATGGTTGCTAGGGTATACTGAGTGGTTACGAAGGTATTTAGGATGGTTGCTAGGGTATACTGAGTGGTTGCTAAGGTATTTAGGATGGTTGCTAGGATAAAGGATGGTTGCTAGGGTATTCTGAGTGGTTACTGTGGTATTTAGGGTATTTAGGAAGGTTGCTAGGGTATTTAGGATAGTTGCTAGTCTATTCTGAATGGTTACTAGAGTATTTAGGATGGTTGCTAGGGTATTTAGGATGGTTGTTAGGGTATTCTGAGTGGTTACTAGGATAATTATGGTGGTTGCTAGGGTATTCTGGTTGTCTAGATTTAAAAGTAAATGATGTTTTAGAAGAGTCTCTGGATATTTGTAAGGATTCCGTCAATCAGTTTTGATCCTATTTTATATAGAGATATAGAGTGTGGTAACTGCTTTAAACCCAACCATGGGAAAAAATCATTCTTGTTATATTTGTTATTAAAATGCTAAAATGGAAGTGACCTACTATTGTTTGAACACATTTTGGCCGATTTACACATTGAGTGTAACATGACATTGACACTGCTGTTCTGTGTTACCGGGTCTGTTACTTACTGAACATACAGTATGTGAACATTTACATCTTGTTAAATTGATTTTGACCGTTCAAAAGTTTTAGGTCAGTATGATTTATTTTAAAAACACTTTTATTCAAAAGTGACTGCAAAGCATTTATAATGTTACAAACGATTTTTATTTCAAATAAATGCTGTTCTTTTTAATTGTCTAGTCATGAAAGTGTCCTGAAAAATGCATCATGGTTTCCACAAAAATATGAAGCAGCACAACTGTTTTCAACATTGATGATAATGAGAAATGTTTCTTAAGATGAAAATTCAGTTGTGATCACAGGAATAAATTACATTTTAAAATATATTCACATAGAAAACAGTTATTTTAAATTGTAATAATATTTTACAATATGACTGTTTTACTCTATTTATTATCAAATAAATGCAGCCTTGGTGAGACTTCTTTCAAAAACAAAATATATATTTTTTTATCTAAATCTTTCTTATATATATATATATATATATATATGCTTGAAAACATTCTGCTGTCTGTACTGTTTCTCTCTGTCATCATTGCTGGACAGTAACTGATTACATGTAATCTGGATTACACAGATTCCAAAAATATAGTACTTGTAATTAGAGTATATTACATTTTAAAATGCTTGTAATCAGATTATAGTTACTTTTTATGGATTACATGATTACATATTATTCACATTGTGGCAGTAAATTATTCATAATAATAATTCATATTGATTCACATTGATTCAATATTGATAACAATTCATATTGATCCTGGAAGTCTGAACGAAATATTTCAAACATGGACGACTTGCATGTCCCTGTTTTTGTGTTTAATAATGGGTGTTTAATGCAGGGATTCCCGAACATTTTTGTCACCCTTAAAATAAAATATTTGTTGAAATATCGCAGAAGTAGTTAATATTTCCATAATTCAACAAAACATTTGCATGTTCACAGTTCTCTGATGTTAGTTAATGGTCACACTGACATGCAGGTAAACAAATACAATATTTGTATTTTTAGTGTTTAAGTGTTTAAATTCCTTTTATTTTACATTTTTATGATTTAATTAATTATTAGGTTTTTATCAACTTACTATTCACTCTCTATCAATTCACTAATGTAATGTTTAATGCTTTTTATGATATTGACATCAAAACATTGAATATATTTTCTTTCGCTTTGCTTTTTTATATCAATATGGTACGTTTAAAACAAGTTTGATTTAAAAAAGTAATCTAAAAGTAATCTAAAAAAAGTAGTCAGATTACATTACAAAAAATGTGTAACCTGGATTACGTTACTAACTACAGTTTTCATCATGTAATCTGTAATCTGTAATGGATTACAATTTGTAAGTAATCTACCCAGCTCTGTCTGTCATATGGGACTCATAATGTTTTTGAGGGGAAGGCCAATGCTGCAATTTCTACCTCCCCTGAGCTTTTAACATCTTAATTGGTATGCAGGTTGTTTTGTTAATAGAAACAAGGCTTATTGTGGCATAAGATTGTCAGTGCTGTCTTGTTGCTACAGGCTTGTAAATTGTACCTCGCATCTTTTTGGGACAGCTGTCATGCTGTAACCATGGTAACACAGTGTTTGTTGAAGCATGTGGGTAATGAGGTTCAGTCTTGGTTTCCAGAGAACTGAAATGTGCTCCTCTGGACCTTTCTCTATATGTTTTATTTAAGATGTTTTAAGGACATTTAACTTTTTTTTTATTTTTATTCTGAACACAGTTAGAAAGCATGTCAATGCAATTCCACATTTCATAAATTACAAAATATACATCTGGAAGAAAATAAGCATTGTTTGTCTGTGCAAAACTTGCAGCCATGATGCTGTGATGGTGACCGTATCCGTTTGATTGATGTGTGCTGCTGATGATGCATTGTTGGTCTGTGTTACAGGGAAATGGATGCCACTGAATGACACTGACGGTCTGACACACACACACACACACACACACAGCTGGACACGGTTTCCTAGTGCTCTGGGATGGATAGACATTCCCATATCCCATGGCAGGAGTACTGCTACCTGGATCTGAAGTCCAATGCTCAAAAACAAGAGACTAGCAAAAGGATGGAAGGTAGAGATAAGAAGATATAGCCCACAAACCCATCACATTTTATGTATTTTTAATCTTTTTTTTTTTACTATTTAGATTACCATCATTTAACACTAGTTTTATTAGGCTAGTAATACATTTGTTATTTTATGTTTTAGTTTTTTTGATTATTTTATATATTATTTTGTGTGTATGTATATGTGTATATACACGGAACAAAATTATAAACGCAACACTTTTGTTTTTGCCCCCATTTTTCATGAGTTGAACTCAAAGATCTAAGACTTTTTCTATGTACACAAAAGGCCTATTTCTCTCAAATATTGTTCACAAATCTGTCTAAATCTGTGTTAGTGAGCACTTCTCCTTTGCCGAGATAATCCATCCACCTCACAGGTGTGGCATATCAAGATGCTGATTAGACAGCATGATTATTGCACAGGTGTGCCTTAGGCTGGCCACAATAAAAGGCGACTCTAAAATGTGCAGTTTTACTGTATTGGGGGGTCCAGGGGGGTCCGAAAACCAGTCAGTATCTGGTGTGACCACCATTTGCCTCACGCAGTGCAACACATCTCCTTCGCATAGAGTTGATCAGGTTGTTGATTGTGGCCTGTGGAATGTTGGTCCACTCCTCTTCAATGGCTGTGCGAAGTTGCTGGATATTGGCAGGAACTGGAACACGCTGTCGTATACGCCGATCCAGAGCATCCCAAACATGCTCAATGGGTGACATGTCCGGTGAGTATGCTGGCCATGCAAGAACTGGGATGTTTTCAGCTTTTTTCATGTGCATAAAAACCACATTTTAGAGTGGCTTTTTATTGTGGCCAGCCTAAGGCACACCTGTGCAATAATCATGCTGTCTAATCAGCATCTTGATATGCCACACCTGTGAGGTGGATGGATTATCTCGGCAAAGGAGAAGTGCTCACTAACACAGATTTAGACAGATTTGTGAACAATATTTGAGAGAAATAGGCCTTTTGTGTACATAGAAAAAGTCTTAGATCTTTGAGTTCAGCTCCTGACAAATGGGGGCAAAAACAAAAGTGTTGCGTTTATAATTTTGTTTAGTGTATATATAAAATATTAGAGTATACATGCAACTTTAGTAGATCTGTGAGTGTGTCTGTGCATAAAAATTACAGTAAAAACTGAAATGTATTGTAGTTTTTATCGTTGAATTTTTTATTAATTTGTATTAATAATATATTTGTATTTAATCTTTTGTTAATATAACGAAGCAGTATAGATTAATATAGAATTAAAATAGAATAGAAGTGCTAGGGTTAGAGGGTCAAATAAAGATGGAACAGATGTGTTTTTAGTCGCTTCTTAAAGATAGCTAAGGACTCAGCTGCTCGGATATTAATGACCATTTCTCAGTTTTCAGCCATATTGGCCATTAATATTAAAATATACATGCAACCTAAGCAGATCTATGTGTGTCTGTGCATGAAAATGACACTAAAAACATGTATTTTAGTTTTTAATGTTGTAATATTTCCATATATTTGTATTTAAAATGATTTAATATTTATTCATATAAATTATTAGTATTATAGATTTATTACACTGACCATTTTTGGTTATCAGTCATTTATATTAAATATTGAAATGTATAAAGATAAAAAAGATATATTTACAATTTTAAAGTGCCCCTATTATGCCTTTTCAAATATTACCTTTCATGCAGTGCGTCATGTAGCTGTATGTGAACATAAACTATCTGCAAAGTTGTGAAGCTGACAGTGCACGATAAATAAATTTATTGTCTATCAATAAAAAGAGTCGGCTCGCAATCGCCTAAATGAGTCGTCAGGAATTAGAATCTTATTCTGTTACGGCTCTACGTCATGAAGTAATACATTTGCATAATGTCCGCCCACGTTCTATGTAGCCAATTTGCCCACCCACAAACAGTAAAATTTCCGTGTGGTTAACATCATGTCGAGAAGACGCTGTATCTTACGCTGTGAGAGTAAGTTTGTTTTATCACATCTTATAATCAACACAAACTTGTTAACACTTGACACTTACCACTGAGAAACGTCCTGCTCCAGTCGTGCTTGCGAATTAGTCTCTTGTCGATCAGCCACTTCAACCGTTTCATCATCAGACTCCGGCTCGAATTGGTAAGGTACAATCGATACCATCTTTTCCATGTATTGACAAGTCTCCAGGGCTGTCATTCCGTCATGGCAATGGGCGTTTCGTTTCCGACACGCGCTGTACGCGGTAGACCAATCCAGAGCCAATCTCTCTACGGCTCTGGACAAATCACAAAGGACTGCGCCATCTGACCAATCACAGCAGTGAGGGCTCACAGAAAGGAGGGGTTTAGAGAGACTGATTCTTTGAACTGCTTCGCACGAGTCGTTTACGAATCATTTAGAAATTAGGTAAAATTAAATCTATTAAAAAACTAACGTGTTTTTTGACCTTGCATGCATGTAAACCTGTTTTAGGAGACTCATAAAACAATATTAGCAACCTTAAAAATGGCATAATAGGGGCACTTTAAATAATTATGATCAATATTAAAGATAAATATTAAAAATAATATATCAGTGCTGGCCAAAAATGTTGTATCTGTGCATCCCCATTTTTAAAATTTGATGCATTCCTTACACTAAATTATGTTTGTGTACCTATGTGTTTGTTCCTCAGATCCTGGGTGGTTACGCAGACACCAGACGTTGTTGCAACGGTTCTTATCCACCTCCATTTTGGTAAATGTGGTCCATCACATGAGAAAGTCAGACCTGCTTAGTGCACAGGAGGCGGGGCTTATACAGGAAATGGGGTTGTTGAAGGATAAAGTGCATTTATTGGTTGAGTTCCTGTCTGTCACTGATCCACATGGCGCCGCCCTTCAGACTTATCTCCAAAGTTTACACCTGACCGAGTACAACCTTATAACTGTACATGGTTAGTATATGTGATTAATATATTTGTTTGTTCTTTTAAAATTCCTTTTTTTTTTTTTGCCTGTGTTTCTCACGTCTGTCTCTTTCTCTCTGTAGACTCTGTGGTTCGACGGTATAAAGAGTCTCTCATTCAGCGACTCAAAGAAGATGAAAATTCATTGGCGCAAGTCCCCGGCAACTCAAATTCCACTTTACTCCTCATAGAGTGCGTATCTGACCTTCAGCAGCGAGAACATGACCTTGTACAGGTGTCAGTCAACAGAGGGGCGGGGCCTCTTCACGGTCGAGTGCTGGGATTGGACAAGCTGATCGCTCCTTTGACGAGAGTTAGCACCGCCCCTCATGTGACACTGACGGTGGGCGTGGCCGGCAGCGGAAAGAGCCGAATGGTCCGCCGTTTCATCCAGCTATGGACCACTAGTCAGATCTATCCAGAGCTGAGTCTCGCAATCCCCATTGCATGCTGGGAATTGAGCAGTTTCGATCGGCTATCGGTCGAGCGCTTGCTGCGACTGTTCGTTCCGTATGATAACATGGACGTAATTTTATTTAACGAATCCTGCAAAGTGTTGCTCATTTTGGACGGATTGGAAGAATTTCGCCAGTCACTGGATTTCGCAGAAGCCCCGCCCACTAGCGACCCTCGTCGCGAAATTCCCGTGTCGGATCTCATTGCGAATATTGTACGAGGTAACCTGTTGCCAGGGGCAACACTCTGGCTTTTGTCAAGGCCTGGCACTGGTGCGAAAGTTCCAGCAGGATTGGTCGACCGTGTGACGGAAGCCCCGCCTCTTTCCCGAACGCAAATAAAGGATTATATTAATCACTGTGTAACGAACACGCTAGATGCGTATTCGATATCACAAGACAGCTCACAGTCTCAAACAAACACACCTGAGGATGTCTCCTCCCAAGTGTGGACTTACCTGAATTCCCAGAAACCATTGCTCATTTTGTCTTCTGTGCCCGCGGTTTGCCACATTATTGTAACTACGCTATCACGCCTTCTACAGTTGGACTCAGATGCCACGCCCCTTCCTCGAACGTTAACAGAAGTCTATGCCCACTACTGTTGGCCACACCTCTCTGGATCAGACACGCCCAGTGGAAGCTTCAGGAAGCCGCTTAGCACTCTGGGTCGCCTTGCTTTTTATAGCCTCTTACGACGACGGTATACGTTCAGCGAGACAGAATTGCGAACTTATGGCGTCGATGTACCACCTCAGGGCGGGATGCTCAGCTGCCGCATCCTCCAGCGCAGGCAAAGCTGGTCGTCCGATAGCGTGGCGTGGCAGTTCACACACACGTCCGTGCAGGAGTTCCTGGGGGCACTCTTTTACTACATTTCGTCGAGGCGCGGGATGTTCGATCTGTTTTCCGAAAGCGGCGTTTCCTGGCCCCGCATTGGCTTCCATAGCCACTACCGTGCTGCGCTGCAGAAAACCAACCAATCGGACGCCGCAGCACAAGGCAACCTCGACCTCTTCATGCGCTTCCTGTCAGGGCTGCTGTCTCCAGCGGCTGCAGCTTTGCTAGGCGGTTCGCTGGGCGTTGGGCACGAGGAGCAGGTGACCCAGCGCACAACAGCGACAACTTTGCTTCAAAACGCAGTGACTGGGACAGGAGGCGACGCCGTTAGCATGCGCAGCGTCACGATGGTAACATGTCTGGCGGAGCTGCAGCAGGGGGAGTGGCTACGATCCGTAGAGGACGATCTCATTAACTGCAGCCTGCGGGGGAAGCTAAAGGGTGGAGTTTGTACTGTTCTCGCCTACTTGTTGCAAGTATCAGACACATGTACTGAAGAGACGCAACTGTCCAACTGCCTAGACTCCTCCTCCTTGAAGAGGCTCCTCCCACAGCTGCTGTACTGCAGTAAGCTGAGGTAAAACGTGCATGTTTATACTAAAAAACACAAAACTCTATAGCATAAAGTTAGTCTATACAGTTTGAGTTACATATTTAAAGACTTCCAAAGCCATATTACAGATTTGTGTGAGAAACGCACCTAAGTTTGAGTTATTTTTCATGTTAAATCTCTTATGTATCCTATTAACTCTGTATATGTGTGTTGTGCAGAATGGAAAACAATGCATTTAAGGAAGGCACCATGGAGCTGTTGGGAAGTCTGCTGAGTGCCAAAGAGTGCCATATTCAGATGCTCAGGTATGGACACACACTTAAACACATATACACTACCGGTCAAAAGTTTGGGGACAGTAAGTTTTATTATTTTACAAGAAATGTAACACTTTTATTCAGCAAGGGTGCATTACAGTGATCAAAAATGACATTTACATTGTTACAAAAATTCCTGTCAAATAAATATTGTTTTTCTGAACTTTCTATTCATCAAATAATTGTAAAAAAAAAAAAAGAAATTATAACTGTTTTCAAAAAATATGAAGAATCACAACATTGATAAACATAAATGTTTCTTGAGCAGCAAATATTAGAATGATTTCTGAAGGATCGTGTGACACTGAAGACTGGAGTAATGATGCTGAAAATTCAGCCTTGCATCACAGAAATAAATTATATTTTACAATATATTCAAATAGATAATGCTTATTTTAAATTGTAATAATATTTCACAATATAACTGTTTTTACTGTAATTTGTGAAATAATTGCAGCCTTGGTGAGCAGAAGAGACCCAACCTTTTGAATGGTAGTATGTTTTATTACAGCCTTTAACTTGTTTAACTCTCTTTCTCTCTCTTTTCTAGTCTGGCTGATAACTCCATAAGCAGCAAAGGCATTAAACCGCTCAGTCGGGCTCTACTTGTCAACCGAACCCTCACAACCCTGGAGTCAGTGGCTTTTTTATTAATATATTCATAATTTGGCATTTTCACTAGCAAGGTCATTGAATAATATAATGCAAACTAATGTGATACGTCTTTTCCTGTGTCCTTGATCCTTATAATCCGAATCAACAAGACAAAATAAAATTGATTGTTAAATAAAACTGATCTCTTTTGTTTTAGTCTTCGTGGCAATAATATTGGTGCCAAGGGAGCAAAGACATTGTGCGAGGCCCTAAAAATGAACCAGGTCCTCGTGTCAGTCAAGTAAGTTCTGATAAACCATTATAGAATTGTCATTTTTTTAATATTGTAATATGTATCATAAATAAAATGTTATTTATTGATATTATTTATTTATTAAATAAATTCTTTAAATAATATATATTTCTAATTGATTAAATTGCAATAATATAAGAGCAAATGAGGTCCTCATGTCAGTCAAGTGAGTTCTGTCAAACACTATAGAATTGTTACAGCTTTTTATTTTTTTATGTTATAATATTTATAAAAAAAATGTTTTATCCATTTATTTTTTAAAATATTATTTCCTAATATTTGTTTTCTAATTAAGATAATTGTCTAATAAAGATAATCTAATTAAGATTTTATTTGTAATTTACTAAATTTAATAAGATCTAATGAGGTCCTTCTGTCAGTCAAGTGAATTCTACATAATAAAATTGTTACAGCTGTAAGTATAAAAAATATTTATAATAAATAAAGGCCGGGTGGGGGTGGTTTCAGCACCCAGCTCCCGCCTCTTTGCCCATTTTCAATTATCCGGGAGTGACGCGCGGTGATGCGCTGCCAAGATGGCGATGGCCGGCTCTGCCCACTTTGAGCTTCAAAAACCTCTTCAGGAACCTACGGGTGACGTCACGGACACTTTTCATACAGTCTATGGTTATGCCCCTTACCATACTGTGATGCCTTGTCCCGGCCGGAGCAATGAGACAAAAACATTAAAACCCATTATAAACTAGGCATTTGTTGCCGCAAAGACGTCAATATAACGGCTTGTAAACAATGTCACGTAACGTCACATTTACCTCAGAAACAAACATATTCGTGGTGTGACCATTAATCAAACTCATTAATCAGCTAGAAAAAATAAACTGTAGAGAGGGGCATTTTGTTAAATATATGCACCATATAACATTCATTATAATTTTTACTGTTCTTCAATGTTTAATTTATATTTGAATAAATCCATCAAGTTTTTATGACAGCCACCATTTAAATGTTTATATCCTATTTCAAAAAAACGAACTGAAGTAGAAATATCATGTAATTGTAACGTTATTATTTTAAAAACTAATTTTAGCAGTTGTATAGCCTACAAATCAGTCAATTTTAACCTTCAATATTATAGTAATGTAGTACCAACTGACTCTCATGTATATTTTATAGCATTAGTTGAGAGATTTTTTTTCCTTGAGAAAATTTGGCATGTAACGTTACTGTACCTGATATATATCCAAAATAATCGATATTGAATCGAATCGATTATCGAATTGAATCGCAAGCTTGTGAATGAGAATCGGATCGAATCGTGAAATTTGTGTCAAAACCCAGCCCTATTTAACTTATAAATATTGTAAATGTTTTTAGTCTGTAGTAAATATTAGCTTTATATACAACATTAAATTGTATGTATGTAAATTAATCATGTATTTATTTAAAATGAATACATTTAATAATATATAAAAAGGTAATTGTAATAGACTAGAAATATGAAAATTTTCATGCAAGAATTGTAATTTATTTATTTCCTATTACAATAAACAGAATGTAGTGTTTAATTAAATATTAAATTTTATTGAATACATAAATATTATATTTATTTATTAATTTTTTTAGCATATAGTAATTATTATTAACTTATAAATGTATATTCGTTATATAATCAATTTTTTATTTTGAAGCGATATAATCAATTTTATAAATTTTTTTGAGAGCGTTTTTGTTAATCCATCAAATAATCGCATTAACTTTCTTGGCACAAAACTAAAACATTTTGTTTCACAAAGTCATTAATAAATTAAATACTCACAACCTGAATATATTACAAACGATTTATCAGTGTTTTTATCTGTGTTTGTGTGTGTGTTTCAGTTTGACCGCTAATCTTCTTCACGATGAGGGAGTGACGGCCATCGCTGAAGCCATGAGGGTCAACAGAGCCATCACCTCCTTACAGTGAGAAAACACACATAATCTCAATAATATACACTCCTGAAGCCATCCGAAACATCAAGACAAAACACACATATTCATACACTTAGAAATTAACCTACAAATACATTAAGACAAAAGAGATGAGCTAATGAGAACCTTAAAGATGACTCTTGGTCAGGTAATGAAATCATCGAGGTCAGGATGTGATATGCTATCTATCACACTGACGTAATGTGAAGGTGTTGCGTTTAGAAATCCATTTCACATGTAAATGACTAATATATTCCTGTGTGTGTATTGCAGTCTCCAGTGGAACTTCATAAAGGCTGGAGCCGCTAAAGCTTTAGCTCAGTCTCTCATGAGCAACACCTGCATTCAGCTGCTGGAGTAAGAACTTCTACATCCTCATGCATCAAACTCTATCAGTCCTCTCCTGTGCAAAATCATCTCCACAGATCACCGACATTTTGTTGTTTTCTCATTGACACCATGTTTTTAAAAATAAAAAGATTCTTCAATGCTGCTTTGAAGCATTTTAGGACCATAAGAGCTTACACTCTTAAAAATAAAGGTTCCAAAAGGGGTTTTTACAGTGATGCCATAGAAGAACTATTGTGGGTTCTTCAAAAAACTTTTTTTTTTTTT